GCAGAAGTTTAATGGTTGGGGCGGCATCAGTGCCTCAGGCAAGACTCCTTTGATTTTTTATCGATAAAAACGTGAAAATTAATGCACAAGTCTACCAAGAAGAGATTCTCAAGAAAGCTGTGGTGCCCTGGAAGCAAGAACATCCCAATATTATCTTCCAACAAGACTGGGCACCAGCCCATGGAGCCAAAACAATCGATTCAATTCTTGAGAGACCAAAATCGAGAACTCGTTTTTGGACAAAGGATTGTGGTCTGCGAACATCCGGTCTGAAATCCATTGGACTTTTCTGTTTGGGGATTTATGGAAGAGCAACTTAGGAGTCGAAATGTAACAAATCTGGTGACTTTGCGAAGAGAATTGATCAAAATTTGGAACAATCTAGACGTTAACTACCTGCGCCGCACCATCGATTCCATGAAGAAACGAATTAACGCTTGTATCAATGCTGATGGCGGCCACTTCGAAAATTCTTTGTAATTATAGAATGTTATCGCCCATTGTTATATAAAAATAAATTTCTTTAAAAATTTGTTGGCAAAAAATAAAATTTGAACGCTTTTTATGGCGCACGTAATTATTCGCCACCCTGTATAGAATTTTCCGTTTTCGAATGAACACAATAGCTTTGCTGTAGCTCAATTACAGCGAGTATTCGCGCGTCGTGGAAAGCCGCCAAAATAAGGCGGAGGGTTTTGGGCAAACGGAATATCATCACCTTTCAACAACTTCATTTCAGCGCACAACGTAGAATGAATATCTACGTGGCATTGAAAACTCGAAGGTTTTCCCCTTTGCAATGTTGACGAAATCCTTAGTGTAGCTTAATTTTTGTGGGAACTGGCCCACCGCCGATTTCCATTCGAAGTCAGCTTTAGTCACAGCATGAAGTTATCCCCACATGCAAAGCCTACGGTTCCATCCGGAAGGCTGGTAGGCCCCCGTACTCCAATTCACCATGTAGTGAATAGGAAGTGCAGCTGAGAGGCGCCGTAAAACACCCCCTGGAATGCGCCATGTACTCGAATTCTTTTACGCTCGTCCAAC